AGGTCAATTTCACGTAGTCGTTGTTTCAGAAAATCGAACTTTGCAAACCAAACGCGGCAAGAAGTTGGAAGTTTTTGGGTTTTATCGAGCAAAGTCTGTTCTATAAATGGTGAAAGTTTCCCATTTGTCCCTCTAGCTGGGAATTTTTGCTAAATTTTTAAACCTCGCTGGGTTATTATATTATATTATGCAAACCTCTTTCTCTAAAATTGTAGAGTGCAATCCAGAAGAGAGCAAAAATTCTGCGTTTTTGCGTATGGAGGAAAATCGGTTGAATGAATGAATTGTTTGGAGAAAGTTTCGAAATTGGGTCTTCATCAGACATTTTGAAAACAAAATTTTGACCAGATTCTCGAATATGTCTCATAAAATTGGGGCAAATTTTGCCGATTTTCGGCTTGTTGAGGTCATTTTACATAGAAATGTCCGACACTGATGAACATTTTGTCATTAATTTCTCGTCAAAAAATGACTGTTTGTCATCGTTGAGTAAACGTCATTATTGACAGTTGCGTGGTTCAATGGAGGCCATTTGAGCTGAAAATGAGCACGCATTGGCTCAATCAAAGACACCAGCTCTTACCCATATTGCACGAGTACAAAAAACAAATGCATGCAACAGTAGCCCAGTCGTAGTATATGCAACGATCCCGAATTGTCTGCGTAATAGTTGAACATAAAATGTCCGGACGCCTGGATCAGACGAATGTTGGGCATCAGATCGGCCACAAGGCCGACCACTTTGAACTTGTTGATCATCTGAAACAAGCGCCGTTCACATTGAACAAGAAACCGCATCCAGACGTGTTTTGGGTTACCTTGAACGGTTAACAGCTGTCACTGTCATCGACCACTGACATACCAGCCGGAACCACTAGATTGCACAAGTTGTCAATGTCACCACGCGTCGCATGCCAGCACAACGTCGCCTGTGACTACACTTGACATTAACCGCAACTATAGCTTCGACCTTTGGTCCCCAAGAATGGCTGTCGTGGACCAATCAGGGCCTTTCGTCATTTTTCTTTCCTGGAGTGGGGTTTTTGGTGACGAGCCCCAGTGGCGTCCCGAAGCCCCAATTAGTGGGATTTTTCCATTCCGCCCGCCGTTGGCGTCGAGCACGCGAGTGCGAGACAGAGAGGGACATAGTGTGGGAAGCTCTGAAAGGGCCTTGGTGTGAAAGGAGCTTCTGGGTGCATATGAGTGGTGGAAAATAAATCGAGAAAACTCCCTGGGGCTGCGCCCCTGAAATGGCATAAATACAGTCGTCAAACCCCCCTAGTAGGGGATGAGCCGTGTAATTTTCGTCGAGCTTAATTATTTAAAGACGTCGATTATTAACGTTCATAGTTTGAAAGTCGTTTCCACATTGATTCTCTAATCTGTTTTCGATATTGCCGCGATAATGGACCTTAAACAGGCCGCAAAGGCTCCATCAATGCGAACCGACCCGCATTAGTCATCACGATTGGATCATACGTGTCTGTGTGTGACATAAGAGGAGAAACCATATGCACTTGGGAGCATCGGAGTGAGACGGATTCGGAAATTCGAAATGGTCTTTTCTCCTAATTAAATTGCAACAGTCAATTGATCTCTGTCAAAGTTGTCACATTCAACACGTGAATTTTGCCCCAAAACTCAAGTTGGTCCAACTAGGCATCATTTTCAAATCGACATGAATTTCGAGTTCGCGCCAAGCATCCTCCTAATGCATTATTTAAACCTGAAAATGTGACGTTCCATTGCAAAGACAGCGGGTGAAAGCCCGGTCAGCTGATTGGTTGAGTCGCAGTCGAGTGGGACGCGATTGGTACAGGTAGACTCAGACACCTGAACGTCGCTTTAGTATAAGACAAAGTCGACTTGACTCACTTTCACAGTCGACACACCGGACTTGCGTCTGTTGGATTTTTCTCTCTGTCGACTTTTTTGCGGGGTTGTGCACGGTTTGGACTTTTTGGCCTTTTTGGAAGCGAAAGGAAAGGTATGTGCTGATTGGTTGGTGTTGGGTTTTTGCGCCGACGGGTTGGTTTGGCTCTGAAAGGTTTCTCTAAGAAAAGCCCGGTTTTATAAACGGTGAAAGTTTCGCACTTGGACCTTCATCAGGGATTTTTCGGGAATTTTTCGAAGTAGACTAGTTTTGCCAGAACTGTGTCTTCCACGCGTCTTTTCTCACTGTCGTGGTATGAAAACCAGACGAGGTAGAAAGTTCAGTCTTTCTGCGCTTGATGGAGAAAGGTCGGTTCTATGAGTGTTAAAAGTTTCGCCATTCTGCTGTCACCAAAAGTTTTTTGGCAATTTTTCATAATCCGCCAGTTTTGCCAGGAAAATTTCATGCAGGCGCCGTTTCGAAAAAATTGCAGAAAAAAGGCACAGCCTAGGGAGTTTTTTAGTTTTGTCCAGAAAACTTGATTGTATAAATGCTGAAAGTTTCGCAATTGCACCTTTATCATCAGAGAATTTTAGAGAATTTTTTAAATAAAGCTAGTTTGGCCAAAAAGTTTTTAGTAGGCGCGGTTTCGAAAAATCGTAGAGTGAAACGCAAACGAGATGGAGCCTTTGGAGTTTTTGAGTCTTATAGAAGAGACTCGATTCTATGGCTGCTGAAAGTTGCGCAACCGGGTCTTCATCAGGGATTTTTTGAGAATTTTTTAAATCACGCTAGTTTGAGCACACAGGTTTTTAGCAGGCGCGGTTTAGAAAAATCGTAGTGTGAAACGCAAACCAGATGGACCCTTTGGGTTTTTGAGTTTCATAGAAGAGACTCGATTCTATGGCTGCTGAAAGTTTCGCAACCGGGTCTTCATCAGGGATTTTTTGAGAATTTCTTAAATCACGCTAGTTTGAGCAAACAGGTTTTTAGCAGGCGCGGTTTCGAAAAATCGTAGAGTAAAACGCAAACGAGATGGAGCCTTTGAAGTTTTTGAGTTTTATAGAAGAGACTCGATTCTATGCCTGCTGAAAGTTTCGCAACCGGGTCTTCATCAGGGATTTTTTGGGGATTTTTTGAATCAAGCTAGTTTGAGCAAAAAGGTTTTTAGCAGGCGCGGTTTCGAAAAATCGTAGAGTAAAACGCAAACGAGATGGAGCCTTCGGAGTTTCTAAGTTTCATAGAAGAGACTCGATTCTATGGCTGCTGAAAGTTTCGCAACCGGGTCTTCATCAGGGATTTTTTGGGGATTTTTTGAATCAAGCTAGTTTGAGCAAAAAGGTTTTTAGCAGGCGCGGTTTCGAAAAATCGTAGAGTAAAACGCAAACGAGATGGAGCCTTCGGAGTTTCTAAGTTTCATAGAAGAGACTCGATTCTATGGCTGCTGAAAGTTTCGCAACCGGGTCTTTATCAGGGATTTTTTGAGAATTTTTTGAATCAAGCTAGTTTGAGCAGAAAGGTTTTTAGCAGGCGCGGTTTCGAAAAATCGTAGAGTAAAACGCAAACGAGATGGAGCCTTTGGAGTTTTTGAGTTTTATAGAAGAGACTCGATTCTATGAGTTGTGAAAGTTTCGCAACCGGGTCTTCATCGGGGATTTTTTGAGAATTTTTTCAAAACCGCCTTATTTTTTCAGGTCAGTTTTTCGTTTCGGAAGATCATAGTGTGAAAACGAAACTTGGCAACGCGTTCGAAGTGTTTGAATTTTACAGTACAGAAAAAACTTGAGTTTATAAATCCCGAAGTTTTGCAAATGCGTCTTCATCAGACATTTTTGGAGAATTTTTTGAAGCAGACTGATTTTGCCATGCGATTGATGATTCGAGCAGGCGTCATTCAACAGGCAAGGTCGCAGTGAAAAAACCAGGAAAGATAGAAATTCGGCTGTTTTTGGATTTTATCAAAAAAAACGTGGCTTCTATAAAGTCTGAAAGTTTCGCACTTCATCTTTAATCGGCAATTTTTTGACAACTTTTTCAAAAATCCCTTGGTTTAGGTTGATCGATTTCATGCAGGCGTCGTTTCCGAAACGCCTAGTTTACAAAGCAAACGAGTTGCAACGTTGGGAGTTGCTGCATTTTAACTGCAAACGCCTGTTCTATAAACTGTGCGCGTTTCGCACGTGCACCATCATCAGGGATTTTGCGAGAATTTTTCGAAACCGACTAAGTCCGATGGCACAAACGTAGTTGTCGGATGTGTTGTTCGAGCATCCGAGGCGGCCAGAAAGCAGGTCGTCGAAAGTAAAACACACGGTTTTCGGTTATATAACCGGTTGCGATGTGAGCAGCGCAGCTCGTAGCATGGATTTTCGGTTACCAAACTTTGCGTTGCAAATATTATTGAAATTTCAAGGTGACCGGTCCATCTCAAACATTCAAAATGGCAGGGCTGCATACAAATGGCCCAACTATGCAACACTGCAAAGGATTGACAATTAACTGACCTAACTAATCACACCCTCTTGCTTGTCAAAGTTTCTCCATTTTCACGTGTTTAGTTGGAAATTATATAATTTTATTGCGCTCAGCGAATCGTTAAAGCAACCGGACAAAAGAACATTATTGTTAATAACTTTGTGTATATTTTCCTGACTGTATTTCAACTTAATTCAAAAGAAATTCCTGGGTTCCAGTCAATTTTTTATTGTTTACCATTTAAAATGTCACAAAAACGTTTCGGTGTTTTTCTCCACCATCATCAGTTTGTATGTATGGTTGTTTCCAAAGGTAGAAACAACCGTCACAACGTTTTTGTGACATTTTAAATGGTAAACAATAAAAAATTGACTGGAACCCAGGAATTTCTTTTGAATTAAATTGTTAATAACATAATTGGAAATTGCGCAACGCTGTTCAAAGCAACGTAAAGTGCGTGTTTGCGCTGTTTTTCGACGTGATGTAAGTCGCTTTTTTCGGCTAATTTCACAGGTTTATTGTGTAAATGTGCCGCTGTTGATGAAAGTCCTAAATTGCGGTTTGAAAGTTGATATGTAATTCATTTATGGACTGCGTCCAGCTGACGCTCAGAGATGTCGCTTCAGTTGACGTTCAAATGGCCCCAAGTTTGACGGGAAACTGTCAAACTGAGAGCACCTTCCGCTCATTTGGCGCTCATTTTAAATGCGTGTTTTTGCGCATTCCCCTTCTCCAATTGGAAAGTGGCTCAACCAACTGATGAATCACCGAGGAGAATTGAATTATCAAGTGATTATCTACTTCCATGCTTTTTCCTCTTATATAACAAATATGTAGTACGCTTTAATTGGTTCACCTTCACGGTAATTAACATGTGCAATACATGGACTAGATCGACATTCTAGTGGCCAAATGCTTCGGAGAGAATTCGCTACTTTTTCCGACCTTGTTGTTCATCCTGCAACAACTGACAGGATTTGCTGCGGCAACGTTGGAGTTTTGATGCCGAATTTGAATAATTCAGCAGTTAATAACGCTAAATACCTTGGAAAATGTTGAAATGGGCAAAAGAAGCGTTTGTTTGTCGTAGATAGATTTAGAGCGTTCTTGGGCGAACCGAGCGATCGTTAAGTGGCCGAATCAATTATTAATCGTCCTATTTTCAACTGTCCACCTCGGTGATCGATTCCCAACGAATTATTCATCCATCAGATCGGCCGGACTGTGCCGACGCTGGAAAACTCTCACACCCATTAATTTATTAATTACTGCGATATGGGTTTTTGTTCTTGGAAATGTGACGCAAACAGCAGAAAAATAAAAATATGAATTTTTCCGCTTTCGCATCGCGCTTGGTCCTAAGGTCATTGTCATGACAATGTGTCACACATGTCATTTGTTCGATGAATTGCATGTTTTTATGGATAAATTGATAAAAAAAACTGGTTTTAGCGAGCATCATGACTTTGGTTCAACCGTCACCCGAAATGCAAATCAACATCAGGAAGGCGCTGAACGAGGACGTCAACACGCGACAATCGGATCTGGAACACATCAAGGAGTGGATGCTGAAACAGCCCCATCTGCCGGATTCATGGGGTAAGCACTTCCGCTCTAATCAATCGAAAAGATGGCCATGAACGAGAAACAAATTGCAATTGAAGTTTCTCCTGATCAGCGGTTACTGTCACGGCCTCCGCAGAACACGCGAGAAAGGAGACAGTTTAGCGTGCGGCAATTGTTTCATTTCCACTGCCATTTCAATGCCGATTGGCTGGTCACTTGGCCAACGGTGGTGTGATGTACTTGGTCAACATTCAATTAGGGAAAAATTAATATCAACATAATTAATTATCGATTATTGATCGTTATTTTAATGGATTTCTGAGTGACCGCCAAGGAAATTGCTTTTTATTGCTGTTTTTAAACGGTTTTGTGACTCATATTTTCAATTATTTTTCTGCTCCGGGAGGATCACAACAAATTGAGAACGTCGTTATTGCACTGGTGTAAAAAAGTTGATGCCCTCGCGAAGCGATGTTGCCAGACTGCAACATTCTACGTGACACTAATGGGTTTTTAGGCCGTCGTTCGGTAGAATTTCTTCCTGACGTTTCGCAAGCACGAGTGGCTTGCATCTTCAGAAGTGGTTTGCTTGAACGCT